GCAGCTCTTTTAGAACCGCACGGGGACCCTCAGGGGCTGAGATGTGGCGGTGCTGCCCTCCTGGCCCGCACTGAGGTGTTGGCAGAACTGTAGGATCTGGGGAAGCTTTAATGCCAAGGTGCAACACCTACTGCATTAGGGGTGAGCTGCGATTAGGGTGGGTTTCTCACGAGGTTCTCTGTGGCACAGAATACACAGCACAGCATCCTTCAGTGAGCAGGGAGATGGGACATCGTGTGGCTGGGCAAGGGACATAGTGCGGGAAAGAAATGGGTGCGAAGGCAACAGGGAGGGCTGCAGAGATGGTGAAGGGCCTTGAGGGGAAGCCATATGAGGAGCGGCTGAGGGCACTTGGTCTGCTCAGCCTGGAGGAGACTGAGGAGAGAGACCTCACTGCAGTCTACAACTTCCTCTTGAGAGAAAGGGGAGGTTCGGGGACTGATCTCTTCCCTCTGGTGATCAGTGACAGAACCCAAGGGAATGGCCTGAAGCTGTGTCAGGGGAGGTTTTGGTTGGGTATTAGAAAAAGGTTCTTCACCCAGAGGGTGGCTGGGCACTGGAACGGGCTCCCCAGGGAAGTGGTCACAGCACAAAGCCTGACAGAGTTTAAGAGGTGTTTGGACAGTGCTCTCAGGCACATGATGTGATTCTTGGGGCTGTCCTATGCAGGGCTAGGAGTTGGAATTTGGTGATCCCTTCCAACTCAGGATATTCTGTGATTCTGCAACACAGCAGCCTTCATAAGCAGGCCATCCACTGCCTGTTAGAAAAGCTTTCCAAAGTGTTCTGGTGTCCTGCATGTCTCTGTTGAGAAATAAAATCATCATGTAATAATTTGCTATTAAAGAAAACAATAAATGCCACTGTTTTGCCCCAGATGAACTAAACTTGGATCTGTAGGACTGCTTAAATTTTAATTCATGGCACACATGTATTTCTCAGATAATGTAAAATACAGCTGTGTCGACAAAGATGTCTGTAAGCTAATTGAGTTTGCTTTGGTGACCAGACCATTGGGATGTCTTTTTGTCTTCTGCTGGTAGTTAAAAGTGTGATAGCTTAAAATCAAACCTTATTTTGTCCAGCCCCAAATTGCTGTGGGTGACAAACCATCCATTACAAGTCCATAAATTTTTATTGCAAATCAGAAGGACTTTTCACATGGAAAACTTACTGCTTTGTGGGGACAGCAGGATGGAGAACAGCTGACTAGAAGCTTGGGCCCTCTGAGGGAAGGGAGCCAAGTGGCATGGTTGATAAATTGTCTGCTCCCTGTCGTGCTTTGAGGAGAGGCACGTAGCACCTCCTCATTCCCATCTCCTATATGCACATACATCCCCTCCACACCAGGAAAGAGCTTGTCTGCATGCCACTGGAAGTCAGGAGATGGAGCACCTACAGTGACCACCACATCTACTGTGCATGATTAAATTAAGCTGAAACCGAGCTTGTTTGTATCTCTCATCATGTTACTGGCCTTGTGTGCACCACATCACAGATGATACTAGCATTGTTTTCACTTCTCTGATGGGTTCTCTTTTATAGATACATAAACAGTATTTTCCTGTTTAGTAAATCTGTTGGCTTTAGGTGGGAAGTGTGCTTTGATAAAGAAAAATATTTGTGTTGTCAGACTATCTGTAGTAGTTTTATCTAAATAAAAGTTAAAACCCGCTCTTTAAATGGTATTTTAGTATGTTTTCCAGTAAACCTGAATTGTGGATTATGTCTAAATGAAGCTTGATTCTAAGTAATTTATCATTTTCTAATAGAATAACCGTGTGAAATGGTTACCAAAATACTGTTGTATTTAATGTCTATGGCATATTTACTAGTTACACAAAAAATTCATTTTGAGTCTTTGACATAATTATGAAAATAGTTCACAAATTAATATTTTCTTTTTGCTAATTTAAACTATGGCTTAAGTAAAATTTTTTAATTAAATTATTGAAATTTTTTTAAGGGGACAATACATCTGTTCCGTAAATCACAGAGATCATTGGTTGGAAAGTTAACACATGAATTTAGGTTGGTTGCAGCAGATAGAAGGGTAAGTATTGCTTTAAAAAATCATCATAATAGTAAAAAGACATTAGCTGTGATAAGTTAGAATATATTATTAAGTATATTTTGAAAATTTTTCTTTGAATTTTCTAACTGTGCTTAAAAAAAGAATCCAGCTCTGAAGCTGAATTCCTTCCTGTGCACTGTCCCTGTTGATTAGTGTTCTCCAGAATTATACTTATATTTGATGTGTTCAGTAGAACTCTAAACTGAATATGTGTGGATGGTTTTTGGGACCAAAGTTTCAGCTCAAAAAAAGGAACCCAATAATATAAAGCTGTACAAGTCTGTCTTCAGAAGTCAGATGGTGTGTACTACAATACAATGCAAATATTAAACAGGGATGATTTCTTTTTTAGACCAAAAAGGTATTCTAAGTATGATGGACAAGGGCTGTTTATAAATGAGTTTTGAAATAATTTATAAAGTTTAAAATAGAATAAGGGCTTGCTGTTCTGAAATGAGTGGTAAATTTCTGGGAGGGAAGAGAAGCCAGTTCTGTTTGCATGATGAAGTGCTGCAATATTGTTTTTTAAAACAAAATAGATGTATTTTTGTCTTGTAAATTTTGGAAGATGTAAAATACATATTTATTCTCATCAACAGTCCTGGAAGATTTTGCTGTTTGGTGCTATAAATTTAATATGTATTGGCTTCCTGCTCATGTGGTGCAGCTCTACAAACAGCATAGGTAGGTGGCTCTCCTATACTGAAACTACAACCGACTACCATGTGTTTCTTAGCTTGTGAAGTTCTGACAGACTGAAAAAGCAAAGTTCAGCAGGTAGTGGAGTTAGGTGGCTACACAGCCACATGCTGAAAGAGCTTCCTTTTGATTTGCCACAATCAGTTTAGAGACATTTTTCACAGGCAAGTGTGGAGGGGTTAAAGGTTTTCCCAGCCTGCTGGTGGTTTGCTTCCTGCAGTATCTTCTTCATCTTTAGGACTGAAAACTAGTAGACTTCTGAGTTAGTCCTCAAACCTGTTCCTTGTATAAATATCACCAATGACATACAACAGCCCTCACTTGCAGTTGAACGAAGATGTTTGTAGTGTGGCAAATGGCTTGGGCTTCTTTGATTCCAGGAATGCCCCATATCACAGTGTTTCTGTGATATTTTGACCTTGGCTGAATATTTCCCACCAAGCCATGGAGAGAAAAAGGGAAGAGAAAATTAGATGGAAGACAACTCTTAGGGTGAGATAAGGCACTTTACTAAAGCAAAAGGTTCAAAAGGTTGCGTGCTCACAAGCAAAAAGAAAAAAAAATTGCTCCCTTCATCCCATCAGCAAGTGATATTCATCCACTTCCCAGGAAGCAGGGCTTCAGCAACACATAGCAGTTGCTCTGGAAGGCAAATGTTGTAATAACGAATGCCCCTCTCCCTCCCCCCTCCTTTTCTAAGCTGTTATATTTGAGCTGACATCACATGGTATGGAAATATCCCTTTGGTCAGTTTGGGTGAGCTATCTTGGTTGTGTCCCCTCCCAGGATCTTGCCCACCCCCAACCCCTTGATAGGGGGGGAATGTTGAGAGACAGCGCTGATGCTGTGCCAGCGCTGCTCAGCAGCAGCCAAAACACTGGTGTGTTATCAACACCTTTGCACCTACCAGTGCAGAGCACTGCACTGTGAGGGCTGCTGTGGGGAAACGAACTCCATCTCAGCCAGGCCCAATGCAGTTTTGTATGTTTTCTACTTCTGAATAGGGGCTTTGAGGTCTTCTCTACTGAAAATGGGATGTTGCACATTTTTAATTTTTGACACAGTTTTCTTGTGGTTTTGAGATAAGTCAGAGGTGCGAATCAAGTGAAAAATTCTGTTGAACCTACTTTTCACTGCAGTAATGCACAAAAGAAATCTCTTGCTTTGGGGGGTGGTGTGCTTTTGGAAGATCTCCTGACTTTTCTGTATTTAAATGCCTAGTTACAACTTAGTCGCAAATGTAATACCTTTTATGTCTGGGCATTATTTCATGGTTTAGTAGAATTGGGATTGCCATAATCAATCTGTTTGATGTTAAATATGTTGATGTGTTTAGAACGTTCACAGAGACTTGTTCTATCAGCAGAGATGGTTTATGTAGATAGAAAATTGATGAGAGCTGCATGAAAGGGACTTAGAATACAAGTGATTTCTGCATTGAAAAACTGTATTAATTTTTAACATTTGCTTTTTTTACAGCTTTAACTGCTTACACATATTTGACAATCTTTGACCTTTTCAGGTGAGTTTTTTTCTCATTTTGTCTTACTCTTCATTTGTCCCTGCCTTTTTATATTTCCATGCACTTAAAATTTACTTACAGATGCAAACATGTGTAACTTAATCATCAGTACAGAAACAGTAACTGGTTTAAATATAGAATTAATCAGTATAAAATTGGACATCACAATAAATAGATTATAAAAACCACCATGGCTGTATTACTAGTGGCAAATCCTTTCAGTCATGGAATTCTCTGTGCAGATGCATGACAACATAAAACAGATTCTAGCATCAAACTGTCATGTGGTTGTTCACTCAGAGCATTTCCCTAATGCCAGAGTCATTGATTGTGAAGTAACCCTCAGTTTTAGCATCAGTAAACAAGGAGTATGTAATTGTATTTCTGTTTCAAAAATATTAATGAGCTTAGTGCCAGGCACTCTTCCCATATGGTATTAGATATTTTTAGTGTTTTTCTTGTTTCTTAAGAAAATGATATTAAAACTACTTTTCTGAACACTTTTGATAATATTGGTGGTACAGACATGAAATATATTCAGTTCAGTTAATCTGCACTGCATTAGAATTGTAATTTAACTTTAATGAATCTTGTATTTCTCTTACAATTTTGTATCTGCTGAGTTTTGTGGTCTTGGCCCAAAATACCTTTTTCACCTTGGGGGAAGTTTTGATGTTGTATTTCTTGTTTGGGTAGAACTTTAGTTTTAGGAGAAGATAGAATACCCCTGGCAACTTTTCTAGGGTTGGACTAGAAGATTATCCTAACTCACAGTGATCTCTTTCAAGAGTTTTGATTTGCTCTAAGGGAGAACAATGCTCAGTAATTCTGCTGCAAAAATCAATTTCTGGTTATTTCATTTTTCTCATCTTCCTGGTTGTTTATAAGAGTCT